CTTTCTCCCCCTGCTGGCCAAGCCGCCACTTCCTTCTGAAGAGGCCCACTATGTCACCAGCTCCTTATGTGTTCTTTCAAAGACATTCTGAGCGCCCAGCAGTGGCACACAGACGACTCCCCCCGCCCCCGCCCAACTGCAGGCTACTCTATGTACAGCTTGGGGACTTTTTGCCACTTAAATGCCACAGAGAGACCATTATACCTCAGCTATGGGAAGAAGGAGACAGACATACTAAGTGGCATATAGTAAGCTCTGTTAAGGACGCTGGGAGGTCATCTCTAGTGTCTTGTTGTTACTGGCCACTGCAGGAAGTGCTGGTACACTGCCTTTCAGCACTGCAAAGGCAAAGCTGGGAATGAATTCCTAGCAGAATTACTACATCGCATGGTTCATGCCTTTAAAAAAGTTTTATTAGGGTGCTAGGATTGAGCCAAGGCCTTGTGCATGACAGGCAGACACCTGCCACTGAACCACACCCCCAGCCTTGTCTTAAAAAAAAAAAAAAATTATGGTGCTGGGGATGGAGCTCCAGGCACATGCTAACCGCCTGCTCTACCTTTGGGCCCCATCCTCAGCATCGTCCCCTCCACCCCCCTGCAGTGCTAGGGAATGAACCCAGGGATCCTCTTTACCACTAAGCCATGTTTCAGCCTCTTCTTTTCTTTTTTTTGATACTAGGGATTGAACCTAGGGCACTTTACCACCGGCCCCTATCTCAGCCCTTTATTAGTTTTATTTTGAGACAGGGTCTAAATTGCCCACACTGGCCTTGACTTGTGATCCTCTGCTTCAGCCTCCTTAGCAGCTGGGACAACAGGTATGTGCCCAGCCCCTGGCTTCTATAATTTTTTGGTGGTGTTTGGGATTGAACCCAGGGCCTTGAGCACACAAGGCAAGCGCTCTACCCACTGAGCTGTATCCCCAGCCCCTGCCTTTAAATTTTAATAGAAGACTTTCTCTTGGGTAAGACAATTGAGTTACTCAAGTGTTCTATTTAGAATCTTTATGTTACTACGCCAACTACAGACTAAATATCATAAAACTGACTGGTTACAGGCCACATCTAGAAGCAGAGAGTTCCTTTTATGACTTTTGTTTTTAACCTTGGAGAACCAAAGGTTAATCAAAAGTACAGGGGTACAAAGATAGACAATAAGATAAAAGTATGGGCAAGGATGTGAGAAACGGAAACCCCACGCCTGCTAGGAGGGATGGAGAGCGGCACAGCAGTTCCGGCAAACTTCCTCAAAACGAGAGACACCACTGCCACCTGACCAGCCATTCTACCCCTAGGCTCATCCCCAGGAGAACTGAGCTTCCATGTCCACACAGAGGCTCCCACCATCATTACACAGCTCCAGGGACCAAGTCAAATGGCAATCAACTAATGAACGGATAAATAAAATATGGTGTATCCGTACAATAAAATATTCAGTCATAAAAGGAGCTAAGTACTGAGAGACACTCCAACAGGCCAATGGAGCCAGACCCAGAAGATGACACATGGTGTCCACCAATAGGCAATGTCCAGAAGAGGCAGATTCGTAGAACTCAAAAGTAGTTTAATGTCTGTCAAGGTTTCAAAGTAGGGGGTAGTGAGTGACTGCTGATAAGTAGGGGGTTTCTTTTTGGGGTGATGAAAATAGTGACATTTGCACAACTAATGTGATAAAAACCATTGAATTATACACTTTAAGAGGGTGAATTCTATAATATAGGAATTTATACCTCAATAAACCTTTTTACCAAATAGATATATGGAAAGCATCTGGCATCTATAGCTACTTACTAAAACTTATTCCCCTTTGGAAAGAGATAAATTGAAACTCAGGGTAACCCAACCTGCTCTAGGTGGAATAGAATATTCCCAGTAGAACTTACCGACTGTCCCTAACCCTCATACTAGGATTTAACCTAGGGACACTCTACAACTGAGCCACACATACCCCCAGTCCTTTATATCGCTAATTTTGAGACATAGTCTGGTAAGTTGCTGAGCCTGGCCTTGAACTGTGATCCTCTTGCTTCAGCCTCCTGAGTCGCTGGGATTAAAGGCATGTGCTACCACGCCTGGCTTGTTTTTTTTTTTTGTTTGTTAAGTATGTTAATTCAGTGGTATTCAGTGGACTCACAGTGTTGTGCACGAGGATTTTCTTATTTCTGGGAACTATAAATGAGGGAACTGGTTGAACAATTCCACTGAACAACTATCCCATTCTGAGTCATTTCCAGGTCCTCTGGGAATAAGGACAAGGAAGAAGGGTCTCATCCTCAACAATCCTAAACCTTTCTTAAGAGAAGAAATGCAGAAGAAGCCAAAAGTGTATAGTGAACTTTCAGAGACAGCAAAGAAAATCATCTCAATGGAAAACAAGACTTCTTCATAGGAAAAAGAGGATAAAGAAACGAATAAGCACATCATCAAATGTACACACCCCACAAAACTCAGGGTCACAAAAATGACTCAAAAAGCAACATGAAGTGGCTTTTTAGGTGCCGAGCACCACGAGTGCCAAGGGTCAGGATGAAAGTCAGTGCGCCCCAACAGTGAGCTGGGCTCTTGCCTGCTCGGGCTGGGCCTCGCCCCGCGTCCTTCCACCCCACAGTGCAAACTCAGAGCCTGTGGGCAGTTAAGAGGAGGCGTGGATGGTGTCATCCTTAAGCACATTCAGCAAAATCTCCCACAGCCTGTCTGAAACGAGTGTCATGTTAACAGGAATCTGGTTCTTGACTTCTACGTCAAGTCACTATGGTAGTGAGCGCTCTGGGCGATTCTATGATAGTGACAAATGAACTCTCAAAACACAACCACGGGGAACAATGTGGCAGGTGGTCACTGAGGAGCACAAGCTCCAGTCACACAGACATGGCCGAGCAGCTATGTGACTTTGGGCAAGTGACTTCAATCCCCTGGTCTGTCTCCTCAACTGCGAGATGGAGTGCGATCACACACAGGAGAGCCACGCTGGCAACTGCCATCACAGAGCTGAAAGGTCACCTTCCCCACCCTCTGGACTTGGCCCTATCAGTGCCTGGAACAGAGCACAGCAGACAGACAGAAGCCAGACCTCTGCTGAACGGCCCCTCGGGCTAGGACCCAGGCACAGCAGACCCGGGAAACCAGGAGGCGAAACCACAGCCTGTAGGCTTTCCCCAATCCCTCTGGGCCGGCCTCGGGGCTGCTGGCTAGACCAGGAGCCGGGTTCTTTGATAGCTTGCTCTGAAGGACATCCAAGGGTTCAAAGATCTCAACTCACTGACTACGAGACATGTAAATTCACACTGAGTCTCCACGGGTTCTTGCTTACCATTTAGAGGGATTAAACAGCATCAGAGGAGGTTCACATATATAAACTGAAACTGGTCAAAAAAGAATAGCCACATTTCAGAAAATATACCATGGGTGAGCTTTTTTCTGCGATAAGGCTAGTGTGTTTTTAAAAGGAGGCACAGTGAATTTAAGACATTGACATTTATAGCCGTAGCTCGACGCTTACTCTTGGAGGCCCAATTATCATCCCTGTCCATCTCGTAAGTGTCATGTCTTCGTCATCTTCTAGACCCCAGCTAACTGTGCCATCTCCTACTCCTTTCTGGCCTTCTTCGAGTTCTTCCAACAGTCGGAAATTGCGAGGGACTTTTACTCCTAAAATAAATGGAAAGAAATTCAAGATACTAGCAACTACAGGGGACTGCGAGCCCACAGCCGGCTCTTGTTACACTACCTGGCGACGGGGATGCCAACATGCAAACAGCTCCTGCCGGCTGTCCCGCCTCAGACGAGCCACTCACAACAACTAGCACCACCAGAGGGAAGGAGCTCGTGTTCTGTGACAGGTGACATGACCGGGGCTGGATAACCAAACTTGGACACCCCAACCCCAGCCATCTGACACACTTCATCCATTTTTACATGTCCAAGTGTTGACGCGTGGGTCACGAGAGTGCGATGAAAACCACCCACACCAAGTGCCCACCACGTATCCTGTCGGAGACTGGCTACGTCTTTGGTTCTGCTCTCATGACATCTTCTTCTGTTCCCTTCCTTTCTCTTTTTGGTACTGGGGACTGAACCCAGGGTGCTTTACCACTGAGCGACCCCCAGCCTCTCCACTTTTGCTTGGTGGAGGTGTTTCTTCACTAAGTTGCCCAGGTTGGTCTTGAACTCGGCCTCGAGTCACTGGGTCCCAGTGTGTGGCACTAGGCCTGGACGAACACCTACTCCTGAGGCAAAGGGTATGCTCACCTGTTGAATGACGCTCAAGTGACATTAGGAGGAAAAGCAGCCGTGGACAGATCAAATGAAAATGGTGTTTACTTAATCAACCAAGAGCCAGCGAAGGTGCCATGGATAATATGTTCCATTGCCAGCTGCTCCCGTTAGCTGCTCTCCTGACTGGAGAAAACGTGGAAGGTGGCAGCCGCTTCTCTAATTTACCTGTTTTCCCAAAACCCCAAGTCTCGGCTAGGAGCTCAGGAGAGCAACACCCGGCATCAGGCCACAGGACCTAAGTCCACACAGGCCTGAGCCATGCTTAGGTGTCCTCCAGAAGAGACCCTGGGCCCCGGGGCCTGCAGGGTGGGCGTGGGAGGGGGACGCCAACCTTCTTCCTGGCTTGGGCATGGAGCCTCTCTACTAGGGCTCCCCCAACCTCTCCTGCTGGACTCCACCCTTCCCCATCTTCTCTGGCATTTGCAATAATTTTTTTTTTTTTTGGGGGGGGTGAAGTTCAGAATCCAGACAAATTACAAGCTGCCTATGCCTTGAATGCTGGTTCTCCATCTGGTCAGACTCTCAGTAGGACTTACCACGTAACTGTGAAGAGAGGCCCAGAGAGGGACCCAAGACTATGAGAGGTTTCCCAGTATACATCAGTCTTTCCCTAAGAGTAGGACACAGGCCAGTATTAATCCAACCAGAGTACGTAGCTGACCCCCGTGTGTGTCAGACGCTCCTCCAGGCCCTGGGCAACAGGCAGTGACAGAACAGCGCTGCCTGCTCTTGTGGATTCCACGTGGTGAGGCCCACGGCTGCCCAGACGAACGGGAGCCGAGGGTACGGGAGAGCCTGGCGTTCTGCAGCAAGTGATGGAGGGCAGGGCTAAGCTTTAAATTACTGTCACCAGGTGGCATGACTGAAGGAGGCGAGGGACTGACTGTGACCTAAGGATGCTGAGGGTGGGCCTCGAGGCAGAAGGAAGAGCAAGCAAAGAGGGAGGCGTGGACAGAAGAGCAGGGAGGGAGGCAGACGAGAGCAGGAGAGGATGGACGGCCGGACCCGAGAGAAGACCGCAGGCAGGAAGCTCCTTCGACTGCCCGAAAGAGGCCTCAGCCACCTGTTGAGGTGACAGCTGTGACGGAGGCTGGGTGCAGAGGTCTGAGCTGACACTCGGCTGTCTGGGGCTGTGAAGTGTGAGGCGCAGCAACTACAGCTCCCAGGGTTAGTCTGAGCAACTGGAAGGACAGAGCCGCAATGGCACATTGGATGACGCTAGGTGTGACCAAAGCTTCATTTACAGTATTGAATTTTTCTTGTTTTGTTTTGGATACTGGGGATTGAGCCCAAGGGCGCTTAACCACGAAGCCACATCCCCAGCCAATTTTTAAAATATTCTATTATTATTATTAATATCATTTAAATAATTATTATTTAAATAATTAATATTATTTAAATAATATTAATATTATTTAAAATATTCTATTATTGCTTTTAAAATGAATACAAGTAGTCATCTGTCTGAAAAAAAATTATGGACTATCACATATAGTACTTGAAGGGAAACAGCAAATACCATACTTGAACCGCTGCTAGAAGAACACTGGCATTTTTCATTCATCTGCAGTATGGCTGAGTGGATTATTCAGCTATGTGGAATTAAGTCCCCTCTCAAAGACATAAAATTGAAATGTTTGTGACATTATAGGCACAAAGCTAGACAATATTATTAATTTTACTCAACAAAGTTAAATAATCCTAATTTAGCTAAGAAAAAAAAAATCAGCGTGCATTTCTACTATTACTACTGGTAACTTATAAGCCTACCCCCCAATAAAAATGAAAGCCAAGAGAACACTGGAGCAATTGCTAGGAAGGCTACTGAGTATCTGAGGTTCTTGTATACGGACAGTGTTGTGGAGGCCTGGGGTCCAGCTAATTGCAGGGCCTGGGTTCTATCCCCACATCCACTAAATAGTATATATAAAAAAAAAAGTGATCATATGAAAACGAGGCTCTTGGGGAGGACCCCACCCTATCTAGGATCCAGAAAAAAGCACCAGGGATAAGTATAGACAGAGGGAAGATCATGTGAGGACTCCACAAGAAGGTGGCCATCTGCAAGCCAAAGGGAGAGGCCTTGGAGAAAGCAGCCTGCTCACAACTGGATCTGGGACTTCCAGCCCAGAGCCAGGGGAAGTAAATTCGTTATTTAAGCCACCAACAGGTGGCATCTTGTTATGGAAGACCTAGCAAACCAACACAGAAGGCAAGAGACATCTCAAGAAGCTTAAGAACACTGAAGGACACAGACTAAGATGTTACCATGGTTGTGTGTGCAAGGATTATGGGTGATTTTCCTCCTAAACCAGAATTTCCTGATTTCTTTTTTTTTTGTAATTTTTTTTTTAGTTCTAGATGGACACCCTACCTTTATTGTATTTGTTTATTTTGTATGTGGTGCCGGGGATCGAACCCAGTGCCTCACGCGTGCTAGGCAAGTGCTCTACCACTGAGCCACAGCCCTGGCCCCTGATTTCTTTTTCTTCTTTTTTTGGAGACAGGGTCTTGCTATGTTGCCCAGGTTGGCCTTGAACTCTTGGGCTTACGAAATCGCCCGACTCACAGGCAGGCACCTAGCTGGAACTACTGGCAGGCACCAGGTTCTGATTTCTTCTACTATAACAAAGCAAAATGGAAAAAAAAAAAAAAAAAGGAATTAAGCCACCTGTGCTGTGCTTCAGACAAGGTCCCTACCTTGGGGACTTTGCAGTTGTCTTCTCTCCTAGAAGACTCTTCCTTCTAGATAACTGTAAGCCATGTCCCCTTCAGTTACATGACCCCTGACCTCAATAATAGGTTCCTTTCTGTGTCAGGTATTTAAAAGGCAGGAAGGACTGTTTCTAGTAGTGCTATTCATCTTGAGGACTTCAGCAGAGAACATCCTACGTATGGCTCGAGTGATACCTTCTCCTCTAACAAGCTGACCTCACTGAGAAGTTCTAACATCTGAATATCACAAGATCACTGCTATTAGTTCAAAATAGATGATGAATTCAAGTTCACATTTTTTCAGATGTTTAATCTGAATTTGTGAAGTAGGGCAAATATTATTTTGGTAATTAATACTATACTTTCAATACACATTTCTATTGAATTAAATATACAGTTACTTAAAAAATAGACAATATTATTAATTTTGTGCAAAACCCCCATATACAACTGAGCCAAAGAAATCTAGAGGTCAGCTGGTGTGGTGATGCATACCTGTAATCCCAGCAGCTCAGGAGGCTGAGGTAGGAGGATCAAGTTCAAAGCCAGCCTCAGCAACTTAGCGAGATCCTGTCTCTAAATAAAATATTAAAAGGTCTAGGGTTAGGACCCTGGGTTTGATCCTCAG